GCAGCTGGACTCTCCCTTAGAGATAGGGTGAGGAGGTCAGTTATCAGGAGAGACTCGGAGTAGCACCACTGGAGGGAGGGAGGGAGTTCAAAAAGAAGTTTGAGAGGGAGGAAGCAAGCAAGCAAGGAGGTGGCTGTTGAAGCTTGAAGGATGATCTGAGGGTACAGCTCTGAATGTCCTGGTGTAATCCCACATGGATGACAAATGGAGATTTAAAAAAACGTCCATATCAAATAAAAAATGTGATCAGTAAATGAACTCCTAAACAGGTCAGGCGGCTGCAAAGCGTGCTGAGGCAGGTACGACGTGAACAAAGTGTGGTGCGTGGTCTAAATGTTTTGTAAGCCATGCACACAAAAACCATGTGATTTTCTGAACTTCAACATTTGCAGGTGTCACTGGGAGCTCAGCTGCACTCCCTCCTCGGTTGGACTGCTGCAGAACGTTAGAGTATTTTCTTGCAGTTTTGAGTTGCACACAAGCTCGTCCCCAGTAGTTGCAGCTTAGTTGCCACTCTTGAACTAAATAAAAAACCAGCAGAGCAGATGTATTCGTTGTTGTCCGAACGTTTTTATTACACACCATCGACGGCAGATGTTTTCTGGTTTAGTCTCCATCCGTCTGTCTATCTGTTAACGTTCTCTTTGCCCGTCCATAACATCTGCTGTGCTCAAGACACGTTAACAAAACTTCCTACACTTATGCATAATCACTAGATGGAGTGCCTTGTATACCTGTCACAACCCCAGCTCCACAGTCAAGGTCACAAATCAAGGTCAAAGTTGAAACAAGGTCTTTGCTTGTCCTGGCCGTTGCTGTAGATCGCTCTGTGTCTGTGGACGGGCGTAGAACGTGCCTTATGCTGCACTCGTTTTATTCTTTGTGAACGTTGAATGTGTTTCGTTGACAGGTGACATCAGTTTGTCAGTCTCTCAAGTCCTGAGTTTCAGACATTTCTGTAATAAAATGTGGCAGACACTGAGGTTCACTCTGGGAGTCCTTGGTGACGAGAATGCACCCCCACTGGGAACCATCGAAGAGGTACAGTGATCGTTACACACATGGTCGCTCTGCTGTTGACTAAAGTTACGTTCATCTCTGAGGATTCAAGGTTCTTTATTGTCATTCACATCACATGTGGTACATAAGGTGGAACGAAACGATGCTTCATCCAACAAAAATACAAATTGTAAAGAAAAACAGTAATAAGATCCAAGGCATGAACTAAGAAAAACGCTAAGATACAAAATATATACGCTTCTAAGAACATGTCTGGAACAGAGGTGGTTCTAGTAAAAATGTATATGTTTATAAATCGTGTATCTGTTGTGTCGCTCAGTCAGGTAAAACAATCACTGTATATTAGGCCTGTCACGATAACACATTTTGCTGGGCAATTAATTGTCTCAGAAGTTATTGCGATAAACTATAATATTGTTTGAAATTTGACAATAATTAGTCATTATTGTTACTTAATTATTATTAATGAATTATTATGAATTGTTAATTAGTAATTATTGTCAAATCTTAGAAGAAAAGTTGGTTAATTTTTGTTTGTGTAATGCCTTTTTTGACCACTGGATGGCAGTATAAGACTTTGAACCAAAGGATGGATAGTGAGGGAGCGAGCAGCGTGTCTAATTAAGAAAAATGGGAGGGAGGCCCCTTGACATGACATGGGCTGTCTCTCTTTCCTTTTTTCAAAACGGTGGACGTTCGGTGTGGTTTGAGCTCTTTAGCATAGCATTTTTCACACAAAGCTTTTAATAAAAAAATCAGTAAACAAGTTCTCAGCTTCTTTATGCAGAGAAAAACAACAACAACTTTTTACATGAAGGCACGGGTTTCAACCGTGAATTTTGGAGCTTTGACAAGACCGAGGTTTGTGCTCCCGAGGTCGGCCTGTTAGCTTAGCTTGTAGCTTAGCTTCTGAGCTTAGCTGCTTTTAACAATCAAAAAACGGGATTTTGACGGTTAAAATAGATTTTAATGAGAAAAGAGAAAAAGAGGGGTCAGTGAAGAGCACCAGAGTTGAGCCTTTTGTCATCCAGTGTCTTCAGTAGAAAGAGAGAGACACGAAGAAACGATAGTCGATAAATGAAAATGAGGTCGATAATTTTCATTTATCGTGAGATTAATTGATTTATTGTTTATCACGACAGGCCTAATGAATGTATTTGTGCAAATTGTTGAATGTGACTGAGGTGCAAGAAACTTAAATTTATCTGTGAATAGGACCAAATAAGATCAACGTTCATTGTGTTTGCTGTCATTTGATTTTTGCACTTGATTGAGTAAAATCAGTCTGTTTTTATGCTTTAAGACGATCCCAGTGGGCAGCATGGAGCGGTGGATCTGCTCTCGTCTCTACAGCACAGTCTTGCAGTGTGAGCAGGCGTTTGAAGCTTACGAGCTGCAGGTTGTCACGTCTGCCCTGCACTCCTTCTGGGTCCACAGCCTGTGTGACGTCTACATCGTAAGAATCAAGGCCACACACCTGAAGGAACAAAGTATTGATGTATCAATAGGACAGCAAGGCTGATTTAGTCACAGATACAGACTCAAACACATTTTCTGACTCACTGAATTTGTTTTTTTGTCTCCTACTGCCAGAAGTAATATCAGCTTTGCCTAAATTTGTGTGTGTTCATTTGTCTGTACTGTTAACAAAATATCTTAGTGGTCAAAGTGTACTCAAACTCCCCGAAGTACCGTACTTTTTGCTGTACAAGTCGCACCTTTTTGCATAAATCAGCGTGCCCTGCAACTTATACAGCGAAGCAACTTATGTTTTTACACATATTTATAACACAATTTTTGGCTGAGATTTAACAATTTCATTCATTCTGACATAGAAAATATTGAACACTACCATTTTCAGCCACAAGAGAGCCCTCGAGTCATATGGCAAGCCAAGTGTCTCATTAATAAGTAAAAGTGCCTATTAATGAGACACTTGGCTTGCCATACCAAGCCACCTTCGTCTCGCTCCGAAACTCCTGGAGCAAACATCGAATCAGCTGCATTTCGCTGCACCACCCAGGTGAAATGCAGCTGATTTGACCAGTAAAGTGCATTTATTAAGGAAAAGTTAGACTGAGACACACCTTTACTATGATTTCAAGCAAACAAATAATTGTTTTTAGGTGTTAATCTTGTTAAAGTCCTCCCGTGCACGCTCCCGCGGCTGCCATTTGGCAGCCAATTGATTTTTGGCACAACACTGGTATGAGTGGGTCCTCCCCCAGAAAATTTGGAATAAAAGATTTCCTGCATTTAGGTGTATTTTAACAGGTTGTTAAACATCTGTAAATATTTGATTAAATTGATTAAAATGGGTCTCTTTTGAGTCCTCGAGGCGCAATGAGACTAACAACCTTTATAAATAAAGGTTGAATTGAAATTACTATTTTAGAGAGCAGTGAATAGAGCAGCGCCGATGATTCTGTCAATCGTCCTAAACCCCCCCCACACACACACACACACACACACACACTTCACTGTCTGACCCAAACTCTTCTCAGCTGAAATCAGTTGCTGCTGCTGCTGCTGCTCCATTCTCCATCACCACCGCCTTCAGGTGCTTCATTTATCTGTTGTCCAGCTAAGGACAATCCATCCATTTCCTTTAGATATATTTTGACAAATTAGTGCCGTTGTTTTCAAACGTGATGTAATGTGAATAATACACATCAAACAGTTCACTCGGTTTTTTTTTTATTTTTACTGTACGCTTTTTTATTTATTATCTCTGGTGAGCTGGTGCACCTGCTGCAGTAGTAACATCCACTCCACAGACTGGGCAACGTCTCCTCTCGTTGTATTTTTAATAAATAATAAAAATAAAAATGTGTGATGACTTTTATGGGGCAAGGCCACCATTGGCCACCCACTGGCTCAGTCATTGTGCCTGGTCCCTCCGCCCTCCAGGATCCGTCACTGCTCTGCTTCAGACAATAATAATTAAAACCTCCCTCTGTTCTTCTCCACAGTGTAACTCCCACTCACTTGAATATGTTGCACCAAAAACATTTAGGTTTACTTCATTCTCTGTTCAGTTCCAGTCCAGAAAAACACTCGTCCCTAAACTACAAACGTTCACTATTCAACCCCTCAGAGACGGGGACATCGGCGTATCGCTTGTTCATTTTAAGTTTGCTGGTTGGTGTTTGCAGTCAGAGTGTTTTTGATCATCATGACGCCAAAGTCAAGACTTTATTCTCAGAATAATAAATAAAATAATAAAAGTGTCTCCAGATTGTCTCAGCTGTTTTCTTTCTGTGTGCGTCCTGAAGGAATATGTAAAGCCTGTGCTGCTGAGGAAGGATGCGGGGGCCGAGGTCCAGGCTGACACAGATTACAGCGACGCCTCGAGGCAGGTGACCAGGACTGTCCTCTATCACTGTGTGTCTCTGTCCCTGTCCCTGCTGTCCCCCTTCATGCCCTTCATCACGGAGGAGCTGTGGCAGCGACTCCAGCCTCTCAGACCTGGACCTCCTGGAGCTCTGACTCAGACCAGCCTGTGTTTACAGCCCTACCCCCGATCCACACACCTGGTAGGACTTGATCTGTCGCACCTGCGTCACCGTGACCTGCAGTTGTTTGCGCTTGTCTCGTAGTTCAACTGATTCTCTGCAACATTATTGGTTGTGTTATTTTTAACCTCAAGAACATGTTTGTGTTTCTAACTGTTCTCACCCTCCTGAGCGGTGAAGCCACGTTTCAGTCTGAGTGTGGACAAACTTTATGTAAACTGCAGGAAGTGATCATTGATCTGGAGTCGATCCAGTTCAAGGTGGATGTTACAGCTAATCAAACAGCCTACACAGAAATGCCTAAAACGTGGTCTGTTTTACAGACATGGGGCTAAACTGAGGCATGGTAGTAGCTGAGAGTCATTCCCAACACATTCTCTGATTGCTAACAGATCATGAAGGTTGCACAAAGTTATTCCTAATGTTTAACCAAAATGGACACAACTCTTGTCATTTCTCATAATAAGCTGATCTCAGTCTGGTAAAAAAGGTGATGATTCAAGGAAAGCTAAGCTTTTTACCACATTACTATTAATGTTCCCTTGTTGTCCCGGGACGCAGTGTGAAGAGGGGGAATTGGAAATAATTTGAATTGGTTGCACAGAGTCTGTCCATTCGTACATCCGTGCATGTTGTGAGCATGATAACTTGAAAATTAGTGAGGCACTGACTTCCATTTAGGTGTGTGGCTGCATCTTATTGTGAGAAAAGTCTCCATCACAAATTTGGTTGCTGTGTCAAAATTTCAAGATGCCCTCCACCATATAAACATGTAAACTGACCACCCCGATCATTTAACAAAACTACACGTATAGTTTCCTCAGAAAAACACTCGTCTCCAAAACTACTAACATTCACTATTCAAACCCCTCAGAGACGGGGGACGTCGGAGTCCTGTTTTGTTCTACTTCAAATGCCTCATCGTGTGTTGTCTGTTCTCTTTCCTGCCAGGCTCACTGGTTTTTCCCCGAGGAGGAAAAAGACTTCCTGATGGTTCAGGAAGTGATTCGGGTGGCTCGCTCACTGCAAGCTCAGTGGGGCCTAATCAAAGAAAAGCCTGTCAGTAAGTCGTCAGCTCAGAAATAATCAGTTATCTACTTGTGAACTTTAGTTTAAACACATGAAACAAACATTAATGAAGAACTCAGTTTTAAAGGAGACTGTTGGTGTGTTGTTTCAGTGTGGGCAGTGTGCTCGCCCAGTCAGGCCCAGGCTCTCCTTCACTTCAGGTCAGCAGTTTGGACTTTAGGCCGGATCTCCAGCCTCCACCTCTACTGCCCTGATAGTCCAGATTGGCTCCCATCGGTCCAGTCCACCCCTCCACCTAAAGACTGTGTCATTGGTGTGGTGGATCACACGTGCCAGCTGCATCTTTACAGCCAAGTGAGTATCAGCTTCTACAAGCGCTAGCAGATTTAGCACGTTCACATGTCCCAGTCTTCAAATAAAAGACAAAACTTGTGATAAAATAATCTAATAATATGCCTTAAAAATGTAGTTTGACAGGATGAACAAAAGTAACTACCGTAATTATATTTTCTGTGAAAATACAGTGAGTTCTGAATGACTGGAAATTTGTTGAAGTTGGCACTGAAAGCTAAAAGTAGCAAAAATAAAAGTAAAAGTGGTGAAACAAAGTCAAAACCTAAATTAGCAAAGTAGTAAAAAGCTAGCTAAATATAAAAGTAGTAAGAACAACAAGAACAGAACAAAACCTACAGAAATGACTTGGACAGGTGCAGAGCTGGAGAGAGGCAGGTCTGGGTTTCTCTCCTGAACCAGTTGCCTACATGACCCGACTGTAAGCGGCAGAAGATGGAGATGGGTTCTGTCTTTGCCCACAAAGATCAGAACCAGCAGAGAAACACTTTCAGTTTGTGTTGTTGTTCAAGGTTAAGGTTTTATAGTTATAGTTTTAGTTATAGAGCCTGACCGATGTGGAAAATGTGACTATCACCGATGCTGATATTAGGCACCGAAGACAGCCACCAATACTCGATATAATGACTGAAATTGTTTTAGCTTTGTCCACCCCTATGAATCTAAGAAAACAGCACGTGGAGCATTGCTTGTTCATTTAGCGCAGCTGTTAGCAACCTATTCCTCAGAGATAGGGTGAGAAGCTTGGTCATCCAGGAGGGACTCAGAGTAGAGCCGCTGCTTCTCCACGTCGAGAGGAGCCAGTTGAGGTGGCTCAGGCATCTGGTTAGGATGCCTCCTGGACACCTCCCTGGTGAGGTGTTCCGGACACGTTCCACCGGGAGGAAACCCAGAGGAAGACCCAGGTCTCGGCTGGCCTGGGAACGCCTTGGGATTCCCCCAGAGGAGCTGGCCCAAGTGGCTGGGGAGAGGGAAGTCTGGGCCTCCCTACTTATGGCTGCTACCCCTGCGACCCAACCCTGGATAAGCGGAAGAAAATGGATGGATGGATGTATGTATGGATGTATGGATGTTAGCAACCATGAAGCTAAGCTAATCACATTAACTCTATACGTATTCCCACAGTAGGTCTACAAGTGGTGCACTGGTCATAAAAACAGTCTTCCTAACGTGCGTTCACATTTTCTATCCTCCATTATTCTCCATAAAGTTATCAAGTGTGTTACATAAATTTAAATTAAACAAAGAAACTTCCTTCCCTGTTCATTGTTTGAACAGTCAATCGCAATGCACAACAATGCATTTCATTGAGGACAACAAAGATAACGTTACTAACACTGATATGTTTTATCTCTACGTTAGATTTATTGTTCTGGATAAAGTTTTACATGGCAATAGCCGATGCTAGGTTATCTAAACATTAGCTTGCTAATTTGAGAGGCACGTAGCTAATGACAAGCAGGTTGAAGGTTTGAAGATAATTTAATGTTTTGTTTTTTTTATTTACAAATCAGTTAAAATAAACTTACTGTGCTCTGTTCAGCAATATTTGCTGCACAGTATTGCTCCCTGTTTCGTCTGGGCTGAAAGTGAAAGTGAAACTTAAGTGAACTTCCATGACTTGAAAGTAGTCTTCATGCCCCCTCTTCTGGATACATTGTACATTTAAAGCTGGTTCCAGCATTTTAGTGGTGAAAATTAGTTGTTTACTTCAGCGAATAATGGGACAGTTATCACTGATACCGATGGGTCCACAAACATCTATATCGGCCTAAAATATCAGCCCTACCGATATATCGATCGGGTTGTAGTTATAATGTTTGGATTTAAGCTGTAGTGAATAAAGTCTACAGAACAAGGGTTGTCCAAGGTGAAAGTCAAGTATTAATGTCCCAGCAGAGCTCAGACAGTTGTACTAAAAACATTAAAATCTCAAATAGCTAAATAACTGAAGATATTTTTTTCAATCAAACTGAAACAAATCAATTAATCAAAAATTTAATGGGTCATTTCTGCCAAAATTGACAAAAAAATTGTATTGATGAACACTTTATATATATTTTTTTTTGCAAGTGCACAGTGCAGGGTTCTCGTAAATAAATATTTCATTTGATGTGTTACTTGATGTTTGATTGTGATGAGGCTACCGGTCACAGTATTGTAATATTTCTTCTTTCAGGGTGGAGTGAACGTTGAGAAACAAATCCTGCAGCTTTCGCAGCGGAGAGACAAGCTGGTCCCAAAACTGGAAAAAATCCTGCGCAGACTTCAGGGTTCTGATGTGGTGGACAGTGTTCCTGTCCAGAACAAGCAGCAGATAGAGACCCAGGTGAGCCCTCTATAAGTTTAAATATTTTCTCTTTGTAGAGGTTAAAGATTTAAGTGTTGCAGTACACAAAGAAAACAGGCATCAAACCTGGTCAAATGTAACTTGTAAAGAAGAGTTTCATGTTGGTTCTGCACAGTTGAGTCCGTCTTAACTGGTATCGGACTATTTGGCACCGTCTCAACTGGTATTGAACTATTTGGCAATGATTTACAGCTTTTCCAGCTGCTAATGTTTCCTCCATTATTCCCTGAAGTCCCTTTAACTTTGAGACAGTTCATGTTCCTTAGACCAGGGTTCTCAGATGTTTTGGGTTCAGGGACCCCCCTCATAACCCTCATGTTTATTAAACAAATTTCTTCAATTTGTCTCTTTAATGCAAAGGAAATATTTGTGTAACATAAATACTTAAAACCTGTTCTTAAGTAGTGTTGCAATTTTTATACTTTTAAATATGGGGTATTTTTCTTTCAAGATGCACTTAATGAACAAAATGTTTAATTTCAGCTTCCAAAAGTTACAGTTTTGAGAAAATTAATAGTATCAAAAACCATTTACAAATTTTTCCTGTTCACATAATGGAACATAAATCAAGGATTCAAGGTTCTTTATTGTCATTCACATCACGTGATACATGAGGTGGAATGAAACTATGTACATAGGGTCCCAGTTACATCCAACAAAAATAAAAATTGTAAAGGAAAACAGTAATAAGATCTAAGATATGAACTAAGAAATATGCTAAACTAAGAATACATTAAGCACTAATGGTACAAAACAATGTGCCATTCAACAGCAGCACGAACAGGAGTCTGAGTGAGCAGATGAGGATGAATGAACACAGCAGCTTGAAATAAATCAGCAGCACATGTCAACAACCAGGTGGCATTACAGTGATTTTTTTTCACAATAATTTTCACAGTGATAATCCTGACTAGAGATTCATGAGTCTAACAGCTTCAGGGTAGAAACTGTTCCTCAGTCTAGTGGTTCTGCACTTAATGCTCCTCAACCTTCTGCCTGAGGGGAGCGGGGCACAAAGTGTGTGTGCTGGGTGAGTGGGGTCCTTCATGATGCAGGTGGCCCTGCATCATGAAGTCAATGATAATAAATGTATTGACACGTCTTCAGATCATTACAGAAAACTCTTTATATTACACTGAACAGAATCATAACAGCAGTAGTCATAACAAGTAGCAGGGCTTCATTTGAAAACCGATCAATGCTGGAACACAAATAGTGGGCGGACAGGTGGGTGGGGAGTGTCTGGGGGCCCTCCCCCACCAAATTTTGAATAAAGTAGAAGTGATTTTCTGCATTTTGGTGTATTTTAATGTGTTGTTAAACATCTACATGCTTGT